ATCTAGACCACCCTGTATACATATATAAAGGATGTTTCTAGATTAAGTCGACAAACCTTGAAGACATATTCCTCTGATCAAAATAAGTAAAAAAATGTATGCAGGGTGTCCCAGTGTCAGCTTACAAAAATTTACCAGGGGGTAGACCAGACCAAAATAAGATTAAAATTCTTATAAAATATTTTTCTGCGATCCTGAGTGCAATCCACTCTCACTAAATTACAGGGTGTTGTTTAGAAGAAAATAAAAACAACTTTTTGCAATAACTCGAAAACCCTTTCAGAGATCTAAGTAATTTTTGCGTGAAGTATACATCTATTAAAGGTCATTAAAACTACATGGCGCTTACTTCGATCTGACGCCAGGGGTGGCCTAGGCCCACTTGTCCTCAAGGTTATGTCTATAACTTTTAGATATCGTAGTTTTATGTAATTTGATTAAGTTTACCTGAATCTGCAATCGATTCTGAACAAAAAATGTGCTCTTGTTTCATAGCTCAAAAACGACCCATTTTCGAATAAATTGGGTCTAAAGTATCGCCTGCATTAATTCGTAGAAAAATGCATGTAAAAATTTTATTGGTTGTTATCTAGTAGGTACCTGTCATTATAAAAGGCAAAGTTGTTTACAAGCGTACATGTCAAAATTAATTACAGTACTCGAAATTACGAGAAATTAAATTTACAAAACAAGATATCAAATTTTCCAACAATGAATATGCCGATATGATATTTGTCTACAGTTTCTGTGATGGAAATTCATTGGTGGCCTCACAAGAGTATCTACGCAGGTTTCCAGACAGCAAGTAATCCAACGAGTTTCCCAAAGAGTCCGTGAGACCGGTAGTGTTAAGATTGGAAATACCGGAATAAGAGGTAATTTGAAAGATTATTTTAGAAGAAAATGTCATAGCTGCTGTTGTTGATGATCCTTCCACCAATGTCCGAAGAATATTAACGCAAGTAGGTATGCCACTAAGCAGCGTCTGGAGAATTTTAAACCGAGATGAACTGCACCTATACCACCTACTTAAAGTACAAACTTGGCATCCTGGTGATTTCAAGGATACAATTTTCCAGGTGGTTGAATGAAAATATTGTTGAAGGCGTACTAGATGACATTCCCTTAGCTTTGCGAAATCAAATATACTACCAACAAGGTGGAGCACTTACTAGTAACGAAAGACAGGTATCTGTGTGGCTTGATTTACATTTTCCAGAACGCTGGATTGGGAAAATGGACCTATTAGGTGGCCTCCCAGGTTCCCTGACCTCAACCCGCTTACCGATTTTTTTTTACTGTGGTGTTATGAAGTATCCCAAACCCAGTAACAAGAGAGACAATTGACTTAAAAAAAATTAATACAGCCGCCGAGCAAATTAAAGCAACCGTTGATTTGCAAAAGGTTTACAATTCCTTGGTCAAACGATGTCAGGCATGCATTGAAGTAAATGGACAGCATTACGAGCATTTATTGAATTAATTGTTTTCTATTTTTATTTTTAATATTGTCATTTTGCTAACATAATTTCGTTTCTGTTACATAATTTTCAATTTAATTTTTGTTTTTTTATAATGACAGGCATCTACTAAATAACAAGAAATAAAATCTTTACATGCATTCTTCTACGAACTAATGCAGTCGATATTTTAGACCCAATCTACTCGAAAACAGTTCATTTTTGAGCTATGAAACAAAAGCACATTTTTTGTTCAGAATCCATTGAAGATTCTGGAAAACGTAATCAAATTACATAAAAATAGGATATGCAAAAGTTATGACGACATAACTTGAGGACAAGTTGGCCTAGGCCGCCCCTGGCGACAGATCGAAATAAGCACCATTAATAGATGTACACTTGTATGTACACCCAAAATTTACTTAAATCCCTAAAAGGGTTTTTGAGTTATTGCGGAAAGTTGTTTTTATTTTTTTCTAAACGACACCCTGTAACTCAGTGAGAGTGTATTGCAGAAAAATATTTTATAAGAATTTTAACATTATTTTGGCCTGGTCTACCCCCTGGTAAATTTTTGTATGCTGACACTGGGACACCCTGTATAACATAGAGCTGGAAATGCTTTGTTGTCGAGATACAGGATGTTCAGAATTTCATAAAAATAATTATATTTTTTATTATCTTGAAAGTGAACAGAGATATTTCGGTCGATAGCCGCACGGTTTAAGGCGTCAGTACTTAAATCGATGTGTGCTTTCTGCCCGGGTTTTGAATCCCGTGGCCGGTAGACCGTAGATTAGTTATGCTTGTACAGAGGATTGGCCCCCTCTGTGCAGGTATGGTAGGGTGGAAGAATGTTGGCTTGGGTCAATGTGAGAGATTGACACCGGTTGGCATTTGACCACCCCCCTAATTAATGAGGTTTTCCAGGTTTCCCTCATTCCTGCACTGAATGGCGGTTAGGGCCTACCAACATAAGTCATTCCTGGGCGCAAATGCGGCCTGCTTAATAATAATATGCCGCCTCCTCTCCCGCACAAGTCTCCGACTTCTGGTATTGTGTTAGAATGAGGAGTAGAGATATTATTATTATATTATTATTACTATCAATTTTCAGTTTTCTTTTCGCAATATTTTCTTTTTCAAATGTGAGTCATCAATGTAGCGTTTCGCCACAGTGCTCAATTTCCACCCTCCGTGTTTTTTAAGACAAGCGAGGTTACCACTGCCGTCAACTAAATGGGTGGCAGACATTCGTCATAATGCATGTCCATTGTACTCTCCAGTTGTCCAGCTTCAAAAATTTTGCCACTTCTTGCGAGACAGCACTGAATTTATGAATACTAGCTATCATTCGATGACACTTTCCACTAACATATCTGAGAAATAATCAATGTTCTACCAATCCGGGTGGACATAAAGCAACATATTTTTGATAAAACTTAAATAATTGACTCCCAGCACAGTAAAAGAATGTGGTCTCTCGGTTTTGGTATTGGGAATTTTTATAATTAAGGCAGATTTGACATCCTCAACATTATCAATTGTTACCACCAATATTAGGATGACCTATAAAGCTTTTTAAAAATTTTGTTCTTTTATTTTTAAAGTGTTTACCTTCATCATCAAATATAAATTATCAGGTGCATTATTCAAAAAGCATGCTCCTTTGTAAATATTAAATACTAAATGTTTAAACAAATTACTGGATTTGTGATGTACACAAGAAGGTACCCCAAATTAAAAAAGAAACATCAATATCGGTCAACAAGTTCCAGAGATATAACTTGCTCTATCAATTTGCTCGTGGATTTGTAGGTTCCCCCTCCACTGACTCACAGTCATCTTGTATCCAAGTCATTATTTGGAGCATTCTCAGAGATGCTGTTGCAAAGCTATCGTCTTCAAAAATTTCACTTAGAAACTTTAGCTCTTTATCTTCGAAATGGCACTTATTAGAAGTCTTAACACGTTGACTGCGAGATAATCTCAATGTACTTTGTCCGTGACTGCGATACATATCTTCGGGGATATGTAACAAAACTTCTTCTGTATGCGGTACATATCCCTGGGGATATGTAATTTTTTTTACATTTGACCCTATAAAATTAAAAATAACACAATTATTGCTACAAACTTGCATGTATCTGTAACTATATATTTTAGGATACTAACGTTTTCATTCGCAGAGTTTTGAAAAGAAAATAATAGAAAATTCATTATTTCTAAAAACTACAGATTCTGCAACTTCCACAAGATACAGTAAAAATGTGATTATTGAGATTCGCGTATTTTTTATAATGAGTACATACCCCCCGAGGTATGTACCGCAGTCAACGTGTTAATTGGTATAAACAAAGTAGCTGTGATTTAAAAAAAAAGAGCAACTTTTTTTTTTAAATTTGTGTAAAAATACCAGCTTTAAGAATATGGAAAAATAATGTCTTTAAATATAATAGCCACAAATTTATTCTAATTGTTTATAAGACAAAATGACAGTGTTTTTGTGGTACGTTTTTGCAGTGGTATAAAACAATTTTTTTGCAATAAAATAATTTCTTCTAATAAAAGAAGTCTTTCTCTTTCATATGACACTCACAGAATTAAAATATTTTGGTAATTTTGCGTATTAATTGCGTAGTAATTATTGCAAAAATAATGCCTCTGCGATAAACATTTAGAATTTTGCAAAAACTATTGGATGAATCGGTCTGAAATTTTAATCACATTAAGGACTATAAAAGCCAACTATTTATGCAATATCAAAGTCGTAGATTGACTTTTGCAAAACTCATTGTTTATTTAGTAATAATCGAATTTTTACAGTTTTTTTGCAATTTCCCGAGCAACAAATTATCGTATCGGATTTTAAAAACCGCCATTTTAAAGGTTTTTTTAATTCCCTACAAGTTGGTTACTTTTACATCATAATAAAAATTATCGTTTTTTTCTGGTAGGCAAAAAAGTGATATTTTGGGTTATTTTAGACGTTTTATTGTTAATTATTAAAAAATCTCACCTGATGGTGTGTGGGTTTTCCACATATACTAAAATTCACCGAAATTTTATGAAAAAGTTTACAGATCTCTGGCTACTCAACAGTCACGGCATTTTCCTCATATCCCTGGTCTATTTATGTTAGCCACAATTGATTTGAACCAAAATGTTAATATTACATTTATAAAAACTACTTCTGCCCTATATTGCCATTGGTGCAACTTTTAAACTGTTTTTGACATCAACTACACTTGTCTTCCCGATACTAACGTTAAAACTACTATAAATTTTAGCTAAATTATTAATATTACATTTAGATTTACTTCTAAATCCTTTTATTAGGGTCCCTTGTAGTGTTAGTAATGCAAAAATATTAAAATATTAAAAGAACTATTTTCCTTAAAAGTATGAACAACTACTATTTCTTATTATTGTGCAGTTCTCACAGTGGTCACATATTTCATACTTTTACAGTTTATTTTTGATAATAGATTATGGAACTTAATATTGGGATTGTTTTTTATATAGGTTTTTTATTTTTAGGTGGAAAGAATCTACATTAACTCTTCCCTACGAATCAAGTAAAACTGCTTGGCCAGTATCTCAACTGGAATCATACTTTCTACCTGAGTTTCCAGTGACAGCTTCTATCAATGAAAAAAGATTTGATGTATTAGACGAGATTAGTAAAGGTGCATTTGGAAAGGTGTATAAAGTGAAAGATTTGGAGAAAGGACAAATATTTGCTCTTAAAGTTCTATCCAAATCTAAGGTAAATATAGTAAATTTTATGTTTGAAGTACAGAATATGTAAACCAGCAGTTTCATTCTGTAGTCAGCATTTCATCCTTGCTTCAATTGAAGAAAGGACTTTTCGGTCAGATTCAGACTTCTGGTGGAAATCGGACGTGGAAAATAACTCTATGAGAGAATGTATTCCACGTTTTTTCGTTCATCTTGCGAAAATGAAAGAGCTTTCATGGGAATGGGCACAAGGTCAACTTCAAAGGGCATTTAGGGAAAAAAAAACGTATTTTAGAAAAAATATGTTTTTTTCGATGTAGAATCAAAATCCTTAATAAAAAATGACTTGCACTATGAATAGGCTACATCTGATCAAATTGATCGGGCAAGGTCCATTTATTACTGGGTACCCAAAACCAAAACAATATAATTTTACAAAAGAGAATTGTGTTCTTACTATGCATCGCAAGGGGTAAAAAATTTAACTTTCAGGGGACATAGGTCGAAAACTATCAAAGGAAAGTCTAAAATTATTTTTGTTCATGTTCCTTAAAATGTCTTGGCATTAATGCTTGCAACTGTATTTTAAAGTTGTAATATTCAAACTGATTTGGCGAATGGCGGACTGTATATAAAAAATAAATAAATTGCAACTAGAAATTAACAAAAATTAAAGGACGCACCTTTGGACAAAACTGTTTTCGGCAAACGGTGTGGAACTCGATAGGATAGGGAAAAATGGAATGAGTTCACAATAATAATGATAATATTAAACTTATAATCACTTGAAAAATAGAAAAATCAAGGTATCGCATGGTTCGTTTTGTTCGTTCGATTGAAGACTGCTTTTTTATGAAATGTCTTCGATATAGTCGTTCTTGTCTATCGTATGGATTTCTATGACTTTACTAAATTAAAAGAAGTAGAAGTGTGGATATATATTTCTTGCAGACTAAAAGCAATATGATAATCTGTATAATTTTATGATGAACTCTTGGTCGGGATGTCTAGGATTGTGCAGAAAATACTATCAGAAATGCTTCTTTGTGAATACTATTACTAAAAATATTGTCTGAATTGTTAGAAAACACTATTTTTAAAATGTATTGCAAAATATTTTCATTATCATGTATACTTATATTATTTTAAATTACTGCCGCAAGAAAAATTTCTTCATGTAAAAGTTATACATTGTCTCATTTCACAGTTTTCACTCATTCTGAAAATTGTACAATTTTTAAATGTCTCTGTTTGTTACAAATAAGTGGTGGATTGTCTCCACATGTTTTACGATTTCCACTGATCTGAATTTGCTGGTTCACAAATGCTGTGTTTGAAGTACGAGGACAATATTTAAAAAATATGGATTTAAACTTTCTCTTAACAGTTATTTTATCTAGTATTTAAATGCTACCAATAATCCTACATGAAATGATTTGAAATCAATTTTTTCACTACAAAGTTGTACTAAAATAAACAGAATCTTCCAATTTTAAATGGCCAAATATCAATCATATCAGTAAATATTACTACCAATGCTGTTTGATATGCTCTTTTAAAAAATATATGAATAAAATTGTATTGGCAATGTGCATTTTTAATTGTGTTTGATAATAAAGAAGTTTATAGTCAAAATCATTGTTCCCACTGTACTATTGTATCAATTTAAATATAAACAAGAAATGAAGCATGAAATGACTACTCTTTATGTAATAGATGTATAATTTTTTTTATATCCTTAGATCATAAGTGAAAATTCAGTGCAACAAGTTAAGGACGAGGTTCAGGTACAAAGAGTCTGTGGCCACCATCCGTACATAGTCAGTTGCCCTTTACACTGGCAAAGCAGGAAGCGCTTATATATAGGTAATTTACATTCAAAATTACAAAAAATCTGTTGCCATTTGTCACATTAAAATTTTAAATTGACTGCAATATTTTTTGTTACAGTATTTAAATTAAATTACCTACAATATAAAATGTCTAATTTTCCGATAGGTCGTCTAGATTTGCATGGACAGTAAAAAAAGTGTAAAAAAACACGTAATTTTGTAACTTATTTGCAATTTGCCAACTTAGCATCACTTCTTTTGAGTTAGTTTTTTTGATATTATCATTCTTACCCTTTCCCGTTATAAAGTGCAATAAAATTACTAATAATTTTTTTACGTTCAAACTAATTCAACTGCAATAGAGTGCTTATTGTAACTCGTGACAACACGCGCGATGGTTTGCTATTATAAAGACCAAACTGAGTCTCAGATCAAACCAAAAAGAAGGGGATGCTAAATGGCAACAGAAACTTTAAAAGCGTTTTTGAAAAACCACTTTTTTTGATTGGTCATAACATAATTAACAAAGATTCCAACAAGTCGATTTAAAATTTTGTACAGAGCTTCACAATAACATAACTAAGGTAACATCATAGGGTTTTTTGGTTGATTAACAATTTTCATTGTTAGTAACAATTTAATGCAAAATTTTTCCTCTCAAAACTTTTTTTAATTAACAATTATTATTAATATATTTCAATTTCACTAAAATGGTCCCCAGCTTTTAATATGTAATATCAGATATATATTTTTTTTGTTCTAAGAACATCCATTAATAAGAAACTGTTTCCGTCATACAGCCCTCTGAATAAAAGGTGTTGTCGCTTGCCTGAAAACATGTACACTAAAGCCGTTTTGTTCATGACACTATATCTTGTGATGATTTTTCCTTGAAGATTCCCGAAAACCAAATTTTTTTCCAACCTCTAGAGTAGCATTACCCCTTAACGAAAAAAATCCTATAAACATATGTCTCAAACGGCTTAGTTTTTGAGATACAAGGTGTTATTAAAAAATATGACATCTCCCTAAATATGTTAAAAGATGTTTGACAGATTAATTAAACTTATGTTCTTCACTTAAGACTTAACTAAGAAAAGGTCACTGAATTTGTGTACCAAACAATTGTACCTATACTAGATCGTTTTTTAATTGAATTTCAAAAATATTCAGTGACGTCAAAATTCTGGTATTCTCTCAATATAAGTGAAACGATCTTCACCAACTTTAGTCATCTTGTGAGATATTTGCATACATTTTTGAAAATTAATATGTTCAGACATATTTATAGGATTTTTTTATAAGAAAAAAAAAATTAATATTGTATACTTGTCTACGATGAACACTGGACAAGTCAAAACAAATATTTTTTATTCTGGACCTGATTTAATTTTTTTTTTTTTTTCAGTAACCAAATTCATAGAAGGTGGTGAATTATATTCTTTGCTGACCAGATACATCACACTTCCAGTTGCTTTAGTTCAAGTTTTTGTGGCACAAATAGCTTTAGCTCTTGGTATGTATGATTTCTTGCATTTACTATTTTATTTTGTATCACCTTTTCTTTCATTCTAAGCCTATTATTTTTTTATATGGGTAAATTTTGTTATTCAATAGGTAGTGTGAGTATTTTTGAAGCCATTTTCATGGAATTTTACAATTTTTCTTAATGTGCAATTAGTTATAAACAAAAAGATGTGGGAAAACCTGACTTTTTACAAAAAAGTTTTATGCAATTCTGCATTATTTTGACAAAATCTAAACGACATTCATATTTCTGAGGTTGCTGATTACGATCTCGGAGTCAAAAAGTAAAAATACCTTTTTATCTCTGAGATCGTAACCATTAGCATTAAAAGACAATTGCCAACTGTACTGTCAACAGGTGGGAAATGTCTTGTAAATGATACCCCGACATCAGTATATTATGTTTATGAGTACACTGATTACAATGGTCAAAAGTGGATTTTGGCACTTGGCAGCTGTCAGAATTATTGTCAACAGGGAAAATGTATAAATAATATGTGACCCCTATTTTATATGTTCCCGAGGACTTCTGATAATGATTGCAATGAGAAAAACGGATTTTGAAAAGTGTCAGGTGTCAAGATGTGGAAAATACTCAATAATATTAAGACACCATTTAATATGCTCTTGAAGGTTTTAATGATAATTCCAATGCAAAAAAAATACTTCCAAAATATCAAAAAAATATTTTTATAAATTAGTTGCTCAAATCCGAATTGTTGAAAATAAATTTCAATTGTTCTCAGAATCTAAATAATCAGTTCCAGTCATGAAATATCTGTCGATCCAATAATAATGGCAGTAAAATATTCAGTTTCATAAAACCTCTAAATAAATTAAACAATTTTGTTACTATGTCAAATTCACGAGAACTGCAGTGTGTTGAATAAAAAAAAAAAATTTCCCAAAATTGTCATTAAGAAAATATTTCAAATTGGAAATGTAAATCTCTACTACAAAAAATATTCAAGATTAATAAAATTTGCCTGAATAAACCTAAATTTAATCATTTTCTGGAAAACAGTGATGATCTGAAGGGTTTGAACTTTTGTTTGTGGATGGGAGAAAATAGTCAGACAGACGTTTTGTTGAAAATATATTTTTTTTCGATGAGGCAGCTTATAATACAAACGGAACAATTAGTTCGTAAAACAGTCAATATTCAACTTCGTATCCAGCAAAGACAGTATTTAAGATAAATTAACATTCGGTGTGCTATTTCCTACAATGGAATCATTGGAATCATTTTTGAAATCAACGTTTTTTTGCATATGCTACTTTTTTACGATCACTTGCAAGATATACCCTTGGCTAATCGCAGAAAATTATACTTCCACAAGATGGCTGTCCCACTTCAACGATAATCGTAATAGTAATTGGCTAAATCATCAGTTTGGAAGCAAATAAATGGGAAGAAATGGTTCAAATCAGTGTCCACCTAGGAGCCCCGATCTTTCATTTATTGACTTTTATTTTTGGGGATACTGAAGCAAAATCTGTATAAAATCAAATTCAATAATAATTTTGATCTCTTGAAAGATAAAATTAGAGAAGTTATTGAAAATATCCTAATAGAGCAAATAAGGAAATGTTATTCGGAATTTAGATCAAGTTGAACTATGCGTTGAATTTGGTGGTGCCACGATTGTATAGAATTGTTTATTTTAATATTTTATAATTTATGATTCATTGAAAATAAAAATTATGAAGTTTATTCGTTTAACTTGTTTGTTTTTACGTAAATTGGAAATGTAACGATAAACATAAGAGCTAAAAATACGCTTTTTTTCCTTATTCAGAATGTATTGTCAGCTTGTAAACTGTCTTATACTCTGGAGAAAACTTGTATAACTGCTACAGTGAAGAGATATTTTTTTACAATAATTAAAATTTTATTGGTGTTATTATGTTAGGTGTATGAACCATCTTACATCTCCCGAACATCACATAGAAGCATATGAACATACGCCTGTTATAAATTGTAATTTGGTTCATAAGCCCCCTTGTTATGAAGCTCCCGATATAAAACGACTGACAAAATACATCTTATTCCAGCAAAAAACAGATATCTCTAAATAATATAATATATAATTATATTATAAAAGCACCTGAAAACAAAATCCTAGCCTCTACACAGGAAGCATCAATTCAGACTGTAGTTCATAAATATTTTAAATGCAAAAATTATTTTAAGATATTTTTGTTACATATCCAATTGTTTCATAACATAATATAATGATAATGTAATAATGTAATGTAGTAACAGGCATTTATTTCAACAGTTCACCAACAGGTATTTAGTGGACTTTTACAGTTTTTGCTTGAAATATACAAAATAAAATTTATATATTTTTAAAAAGGCACATTTCCGTTTTCATTGTACTTGAAGTAAACCATCCCATTGTAGGTAATCAAAATTTCATAAAATATTGCATTGTATTGCGTAATGTAAAGCAGTTCTTACTGTCAGTAGTAAATACAGAACTAATTGCATATTAATATAAAAAAACATTTTATTAGAAAAATGAAATCCTTTCATTTTTATTAAGCAGTTAATTTAAATAGGTATAAAACAGTGAGAAAAATTACCTCTCACAAAAGAAAGTAATTAGTGATCAATGAATTTGTATAATCAATCCCTTATGATTTTAATCAATACAGGATGTCACCTAACACGTTACATACTTCAAGGGTATAATCTAGAACCCAAATGGTGTCGATTTAACCAAACTTGCTTAAACGAAAAATATTGGTTATGAGGATATTACAGAAAATACTTATTAACTACTTTAATAAGGAGAATATTACAAAATTTATATCAAATATCGAAAATACTTCTTGGGAAGAGATATATAATGTAAGTCCGGATCAAGTGGATGATCAGTGGAATATATTTATGAGTAGATACTTAGAAAGTTTTAACTATTGTTTTCCATTAAAATATGTCAGCCTAAAAAATACAAATAGAAATAAAAATAATTATAAGCACAACATAAATTCCGAAATTACTGATCTTAAAAAACAACTTGATGTATGGTTGGTATTAGCAAATAATAACGATTTATTTAAGGAACAATATAAAAATCTTAAAAAAAGTATGATGAATGTTTAAGAATAAATAAGAACTCTTTTGATAACAGGATAATGGAATCGGATAATAAAAGTAAATGTTTGTGGTCTATCTGCAATGAGGTAACAGGAAAGGTGTCTAAAAAACATTGCTTTATCAAAGGGAATTCTCAAACTGTAGCTAATGACTATAATCACTTTTTATTGGACTTAATCCCTAATTTATTGTCAAACCATCAAAGTAAAGATTTTAAACCGATTATTGATATTAATAATAAGTCTATGTTCCTAACACCGGTCATGGGATCGGAGATTGTGGAATTAGCTACAAAAATAAAAAACAAATTTAGTAGCGGGGAAGATAATATTCCAGCAAATATAATGAAAAAAAGCCTTGGCGCAGTGAAGGAAATTTTGTCCTATATAATAAATAACACATTCAAATTTGGGATAGTGCCTCATCAATTAAAGTTGTCGATCATTAAACCAATTTTTAAAAATAAAGGTGATCCGGAATTAATGGAGAATTATAGACCCATCAGTTTGCTTCCTGCATTTTCAAAAGTTTTTGAACTAGCAATGGTTCGTAGGCTCACAAGTTTTATGAATAATTGCAATTTATTCAGTCATAGTCAGCATGGCTATAGACAGGGTAAATCTATAAATACAGCTATCTATAATTTTACAAATGACATCATTAATTTTTTCGAAAGTAAATGTCTAGCTTTGGGTGTGTTTTTAGACTTAGCTAAAGCCTATGATTGTTTAAATCATGACCTTCTCATAGTAAAATTAGAAAGATATGGCATTAGTGAGGTACTTTTACAATTAACAAAGGACTGGCTTTCAAAGAATGGTCTCATCATGAATAATGATAAAACTCAACTAGTACTTTTTTCATCAAGTTACTGGCAAATAAACAGACCTAACAATATCATACTGGACAATCAGATGGCAGAATTAGCAAATAGTACAAAATTTCTAGGACTGCATCTAGATGAACACTTAAATTGGAAAAAACATATAGATGAACTTGCTGCTAAATTAAGTAAAGTAATATATGGAATCAGGGTAATTAGTAAATATGTAAATAGTACATCTACAAAAATCATTTACTTTGGTAGTTTCGAATCTATTTGTAAATATGGAATTATGTTTTGGGGTAATAGCACTGACATACAGAAAATTTTTGTCATTCAAAAAAGAATTATAAGAATTATTAATAATATGTCTTACATCCAATCTTGTAGATCGGTATTTAGGAATAGCAAAATAATGACTATATCGGCTCTGTATATTTTTGAGTGCTTAATGTATGTAAGGAAAAACTGGAATAATTTTATGACAGACTCATCATCTCAGTATAATACAAGAAATTTAAATCTAATGTACCCATATCACAGACTAACTCTAACAGAAAAGAATGCACATTACATGTGTATTAAATTATTCAATTGTTTACCAGCGTCACTTAAACAGATACAGAGTGTAAATTTATTCAAAAAACATATTAAACAATTTTTGTTAAATATTGAGCCCTACAATGTAACTGAATATTTGGAACACTGTTTAAACTAACTTAGGGAAACTGTTGTGACACCATTTCGCTCTTACATTGTCATTGTAAATGTTAATGTTTTTACGAATTAAAGATTATTATTATTATTATTATTATTATTATTATTATTATTATTATTATTATTATTATTATTAGAGGTCCGGCTCTGAAATGGATTGTCTCCTATTTATCAAACCGAGAGTAAAAAGAATGCATAAATCATAACGGCGGCGTGTTTAGCTCCGAAAAATTGAAGATCAATATAGGAATCCCGCAGGGGAGTATCATAGGTCCACTATTGTTTATTATATATTTAAATGATATAGCAAAAGTACCCACAAATTCAAGTCAGAAAATTATTAATTATGTGGACGACACAAATTTACTGGTAGGGGCAGACACCATGCTAGAAATCATAATACAAAGTGAGGTACTTTTACAATTAACACAGGACTGGCTTTCAAAGAATGGTCTCATCTTGAATAATGATAAAACTCAACTAGTACTTTTTTCATCAAGTTACTGGCAAATAAACAGACCTAACAATGTCATACTGGACAATCAGATAGCAGAATTAGCAAGTAGTACAAAATTTCTAGGACTGCATCTAGATGAACATTTAAATTGGAAATTAAGCTGCTAAATTAAGTAAAGTAACATATGGAATCAGGGTAATTAGTAAATATGTAAATAGTACATCTACAAAAATAATTTACTTTGGTAGTTTCGAATCTATTTGTAAATATGGAATTATGTTTTGGGGTAATAGCACTGACATACAGAAAATTTTTGTCATTCAAAAAAGAATTATAAGAATTATCAATAATATGTCTTACATCTAATCTTGTAAATTGGTATTTAGGAATAGCAAAATAATGAGTATATCGGCTCTGTATATTTTGGAGTGCTTAATGTATGTAAGGAAAAACTGGAATTATTGTTATTAAAATAACTACGTATCCATAACAACATGACAATTTCGATAAGTCACTGTCAAGTTTGTATTTTGCAAAAGTTTTTTTCTGAAAATGCCTTGTCACAATGAATTTACGAATTATGAAATGAAAGACATGATAGTGGTATATGTACAGAAACATCTTAGGGGACGCGCTGCTAAGAGAACATATGAAGAATAGCAGACAGCCTTCTCATACATTGTTTGCTTCTTTATTCACCAGATTAGTAGAAACTGCAAGATGAAGAACAAATTCTAGAAAGGGTAGAAGAAAATCCCGAAATTAGTATTTGTCGTTTGTCAGCAGTCACAGGAATTGACCGCAAAACTCCACACTCCACACGTACAGTTACCAATGTTTCCATTTTCACCCTGTACAAAATTTGCTTGATTAGCATTAAGTTTATTCAGAAATTAAAACTCACATCCTGAGAGAAGAATATTTGGAATTCCTTCAGCAAGACCTTCCTGGGGCTCTCGAAGAAGTACCCGGGTACTAGACGGCAAATGTGATTCATGCACGATGGTACTCCTGCTCATTAGAGCCATTTGGTGAGAGGATCATTTAAATCAAGCATTTCCAAACCATTGAATTGGTCCAGGTAGTGACTTTCCTTGACCTTCTTGCTGTCCAGATTTTAATCAGTTAGACTTTTCCTTTTGGGATCTTTTGAAAGGTATTGTTTATAACTCTGTAACATCTAATACGGGAGAATAACTTTGGGATGGATTAAAAAATGTCCGATAAGTTAGAGGAATGTATAATTCGTTTCCTATTCTCAATAGATTCTTTTAGTGTGACGTCACATATTTAGGCAACCCGCAACAAATTGTCATAGTTGAAATTGTACAGACCGAATCTGACCCTTGTGTACTATTTACCTATATACTATAAAAATGAACAACTTCAATTTTAATTTATTTTTACAAGGATTTGGAAGTATTTAAGAAAAACCAACACGTGTTTTGTAAAATAGATACACTAATGTGCTTAAAACTTAACAAAAAACGATATAAAAGAATACTCCTAAATTTAAATAAAGTAAAAATTTGTTATTAGCCGTGTTAATCCTAATGCTCATGCTCGGAAAGAATAGCTTCATACACAGGTGAGATCTCGTTGATATGTGATCGCTGTCGTCATTGGCGCATTTTCTCTTGTTTTGTTTAATCTTGCGATTTTCTAGTTTTACTAAGTAGTTTTATTGTTTTTCTTGGTGTTGTACTGTGTCAGTGTGTTTATCGAGTGTTATTTTTTATTCAAGTGGTTTATTATAGATGTACTCTTAACCAATACCAAACTTTTCTTGAATGATCTGTTGCGAGGGTACTTCGCTTACATGAAATTATCTTTAATGCGCATGCTCAGTAACATTGATATAATTTTAATTTATTAATTACTATAAAAGTCAATATTGTTCTATAAATTTATATATGTAAATTCTATAATTCTTCTAGTTCTTAAATATTTCTAATATTGCCAGAAAATCGCCGTATTTAAGGTCATGACAAAGAAGACATTTTTTTGGCACTTATGTGCAAAGTACATAAGGCCAAAATCGATCTAGTAAAAATATTGGAGAATTTTTCATGACAATGGGCACTATGGGGTTATTTGGCGTATGTGATGTCACTACTAAAAAGGTCTATAGTTTCATAAAACGTTTAAGGAAATGTGTCGAAGAGAATGTGGGACCAACGAATTCATTGTGTGGGACACATATAACATTTATTATAAATTAATAGACATTTTATTACTGCCACCTTTCAGTTTATCATGTCATTAATTATGTTATTTATTATGTTTATTATGGATATGTAATTATTTCCAAAAAATATGGAGTATGTGTTAATAACTATTTTCTGTAATATCTTCATAACCGAGCATAATTTCGACTTTTGATAGGTATCCATTTTTTGTGTAGAATAAAATTCTCTACCTATTTCTGCTAGCTGCGTGTACAAATTTAAACGTACAAAAAAGTTACAGAAGAATATTCACAAAGAGTTGTAGTAAAATAAACGCCCTGTATGATTTAACCTAATAGGAACATAGTCACTGCATACTTCCTGAAGAGAAACTAAGCAACAGCAAATTTTGCTGAAATTGGTTAAATGGATTCTGAGTTAAGGAGAAAACAAGACATAAAAATGAAACTTTAACAGCCTGTAACTTTTTCGATTTTTTTCATTTAAGCAAGTTTGGATAAATCGACACCATTTGGGTACTAGATTATACCCTTGAAGTACATTCGTTAAGTGACACCCTGTGTAATAAAATTTTATTAACTTTATAATTTTTCAGATTTCCTTCACAATGCTGGTGTGATTTATAGAGACCTGAAACCAGAGAATATTCTTTTGGATGACGTTGGCAACATACAATTAATCGATTTTGGATTATCCAAGTGGTTGTCATACGGGAGTACAACTAAAACAATCTGTGGAACACTTCATTACATGGGTATGAACTTCTAGCCGTGAAACAAATTTTTGTCATATAGTAAAGACACTTCAGTGCTTATATTTAACATTACTAAGTAGTGTTCATATTTTTACCAAAAATTAGTTATCAAGTGTTGTCTCTTAATATAAGAACGATTTTTATCAATTTACTCAGGTATCGAAGCTGTGATTTTATTGTGATATCACAAAAATAAGTTTCCTGAGCACGTTATTTTCTTGTCTTCAAAAATTCTTTTTATAGTTGTTGATATGTATAATATTTTTTAATCGATCTACACTGTAAATCAAAATGAATGCGAGATCTCAAATTTTTGAATTAACAGTAGAAGGGAGGCAGGCTGATGAAGCCGTTGCAAGTATATTTCACACAGTTCTATTTCATAGATCCCTAGGCAAATTTTTATATAACAACGAAGGTAGTTATTCTGTAGGTACTGTTGGTTACACAGATGTAGATTGTGATTTTATCGATTTGACTTATGTTTGTTGTACGTCGGCTAGTTTAGACCAAACCATAAAAAGAGAAATTAGCTGTTTTTCCGAACAGTTACGTGGAAATGAGGGAACGGGAATGGGTCAGATAAGTTTGGAATTTTTCCAAAAAAAACCTAATCGGTGGTTGTTTCAGCCAGAATGTATACCATGGGAAGTTTGGACGGTACGACTAGAATTAATAACGTTAAATAATGAAGGAGAGCGACAAGTTTGTAGGGAGAAAGTGGGTGAACTTTTGACAGATAAAATATTATACATAACGGAGGTTATGAATCGGCACGATTATTTACCAAAAATGCCTAGTCAGAGTGAGCTAGATTTAATTTTCGACACTTCATATCCAGAAGTGCAGCCGTATCTATTCAAAGTTAATTATTCTATATCAGGACCGTCCACAAACACTTCCGTTGGATCTACGATGAAAAAATTTATTAAGGAAACTTTAGCTTTGTAGTGTTTCTTAATAATGAACTCACTGTACCAATAGAAGCTTTATTAAAAATCTCTTTAGATTACTCTTTTTTGTCACCTTTAGATTTGTTCAAACAGTGAATTTCATTGATGTGATGCGTGAATTTCAATATTTATGAACCTCGAGGTAGCTTTGGCCATGATAAGTGCAGTATTTAATTTAATATGTTGACATTTCGTAAGTTTTTATTGTGATTTAATAAATACATCTTAAAAATATTTACTCACATAATCGTTTGCCCTTGAAACTGTTATTTTTTTAGATACAGAGTTTTAAAGACTTAAAAAAGTTTTATCTCTAAATAAATACCTTCTAAGCAAATTGAAAATTGAAATGAAATTTTGTGTATACAATATGAAAAAAATTGATGGTATACTGTTATTCATATGTGAATGACGCTCACATTTCGCTATTATACATGTTATTTACATGTAGATGACAGTATGCAAATTTTTATGGATGTTTTTAACAGCGGCTAACTAATAACATATACATATATTTGGTTTAAGTTGTTTCCCCGTTACACTTAGTAGACATTGAAATCTATGAAATAAACATTTATTTACTGGTGTTTCTAACTTTGTCATGACTTTTTTTCAAAATTTTCTATTGTGCCATACTTGTTTCATCCAAGGTATCAGATTGACTTATTTAGTTTCTTTTAGGATATGCCGTTTTTCAGCATTTAGTTATTATTTAACAACTTTTGCATCTTTTTCATTTTTCTGCAATATCTTATTTTTTAGTCATTTCTATATGAATGACATGGCCTTCTACGTAACACGCACTGAAACTGATCATTGAGCCACGTCGTTCATGTACGAATGACAGTAAAAAAGTAGTAGCATATAAAAAAAATAAATAAGTAAAAAAGATAATCAAAGTTGTTAAATAATGATTGAACATTGCACCACAAAAAAAATATTAATTTGAGGTGCCTATATGTTTTTATAACACGAAATTATTGAAAGATTTCATCTAACAATCAAATTATTCAGCTTTATAAATTTCTTATTTGTAGCAATATGGTAGAAGCTGCTCTAAAAAATCAAAATATTATTTTTATTCTATGAAATTTGTATTTCAATAATGACAATAATTCGTTTAGTTAACTTTTTTTTTCAAATAAGTACAGTTTTATTAATGTACATACAAAATTTCGTTTTAATATATTCATTTATTCGGAAGATATTTAAGGATATAACATATTTTCTCTTAAGCTTTAAGACCTGTATTTTAAACAATCCAATGGTAAATGTTTATATAAAAAAGTATTTTTAAATTTAGTTGAATGCACAATTGTGTTATACCCAGTTAGGAACTTTTACCTTCAGTAAAAAATAATAGAAATATTTAATTCACGTTTTTACTATAAAAATAACAGTTAACAAACCTGTTTGATTTAGGTATATTTACATTAATTACAGTGATTGCCGTATATTTTGTGTTACGTTAAATGGTCATGTCTATTGAAATCAGATCTTTTAGTGATTTATGTCACCCATTTTCAAACATGGGGCTAAGTTGATTTGATTGTAAGATTTGCTATTGGGAATACTGTGAATCTACTGGAAATAATAACCTAAACTCCATTATTGGTACACACTGGCATTATTTAAATTTTGGTGTCCATAGATTATTCCATATTAACTCCAAGTCATTTCTAATTCAAATTCATTATTTTCCTTTTGTAGTCCTGGATAAATTCTGTCTACTTAATTCAATCTAGATAAATTAATGGACTAATTGAGTGTTGATAGGATAGAAATTTAAATCAAAAGTGTTTATTTCCTGAATTTTAAACAGCTGTACTCAATCCAATTCCTTTTAGATCGTATCGAAAACTTTGAGATGATATTCATTATTAAAAGTTGGAATATTTTTTAATATCTTCTTGTCTTGTTCCTCATTATAGTCCGAGAGCCCGACGGCTTTTTCAATGTCTAACTGTATTATGGCTATCAAATTTTAATTTCGTTAGTACTTGACCTTGTGATGTTGAAAAGGCATTTCTTACACCTGTCGGGTGGAACAACCCTGAGCGAGGGGTGTATTTAAAAAAATGAGGTTTGTCTAACTATATTATGTTTGAAAACCGTGTTATTATAAAGTTTTTCACTATTATAATTTTAATAATAATTACATGATAATCATAATAATAATGATAAATAATAATAACTTAAATTACTTTTATGTTTCAAAAACGTTTAACCTCGCGGCGAATACATAGTACGCGAGGCGCGCGAAATTCCGACGGCGCGTTCAATTTTATATAATTTGTAAGAAATGGTTAACACCGCTTTCAAGGTGTAAGAATGCATTTTTTTAAACCTTTATAACTTATATTTTTCAAAAATTTTTTTTTCAAATGTAATACTGTTAAACAAAGTCGCTCTTAAATCTTACAACATTATGCAATTGTAAGAAATAATCTACACCTTTCACGGGTCGTAAGAAGTGTTTTAATATTAATATTAATATAAAAACTTTATAATAAAACGGTTTTCAAACATAATACAGTTAGGCAGAAGCAATATGTAAACTCGCATGTTTACAATATTGTAGTAACGTAATGTTCCATCTCCGAATCTCAGAACTGCAGGATAGTTTCTTACTCGGGCTATATATTCGAGATAATAAATTTCAGCCATAATATAGTTAGATAGCAAAATGACAACGGGCTCTGGGACTATTAAGCATGCAATATGTTATGGTGACATATTCTTAGTTGTAAATTCGTGTATGTAGGGTTAACAACATGACATTTTATATATAACTAAAATTTTTCCTCTGTCCAACTGGGGGTTGTATTTTCATTATCAATTGTATTGTAATTGTGAATAATTTCCAAGATTTACATAAATTCTTGCGGTGTACAAATATTTAGGATTTTAAATTCTACATTGATTTCTGTAAATTTTCTTCATTTGATCTTGTTTTGTAAATCTGTCAATATATCAACCATAATAATAAGTCGATAGTGTTGGTATTTACTGTGATAATATATTTGAAATTGACTATTAACCGAGTTAATGGTAGTGCAGGTTTGTACTTAAAATTGGAATTATATGAGTTATATGCTTATCCAATTTAGTAATTTTTATGCAACAATTACAGTTTCTTCTTTTGTATAAATTGTAAATTATCTGTTAGCGAACCTGGTCTCTGTCTGGGGTAGTTTGATGTATACCTTCACCATTTAAATATTGAAGAATTACAACTTTATAGTGCAGTGAAATAGTTCATTAATAAAAAAAATATTACAAATATTTTGTAAGGCAGGTTAAATTATTTTTAGTTCATTAAAAAATGTGATCCATATATCATTTTTTTAAAATTGTAGCATCTAACATTTTTACAATATATATATACATATTGTGAAAATGTAGGGTGTTAGAATAAAAAAAATTGATATATTTCATTTACTTATTATGTTTTATGAATTATGTGTTCATTAAAATAAAATCAATTATGCCTTTGTGTGAAAAATTTCCATATGGGGTATCGGAATATTCCTTTCATATATTTGGAGGGGTGATTCTACAAGCGAAAACATGAAAATTGTTCATGTGATCATAGGCCCTAAAATACATTATAAGGAATTTATGGCTGTTCCAAGATAGCTACTGAAAATGGGCCTTTTGATTTATATCTCTGAAACCGCTAAATTTTGGTACATGTGTTATGGTCATTAGAACCTCTTATAATTCTAATTCAGCAGAATTTCTTATATAATACCTATTATAAAAATTTGTTGTCTAGAAAAAATGCTACAAATGAACTAGTGTACTGTACCATTGATTAAATTTTGTTAAAAATATCAGTCTTGCTATTTTCTATTTTTCTTTGAAAATCACATATTCAAACCAGCAATGTGGGTATTAGGTAACATTTAAACTGGTAAAAATGCAAAACCTAATAAAATTGTCCAGGTTTAACCTTAAGATCAGCTACATTCATTTATGTGATCATGTTAACCAGGCCAAATTGTCAAATACGTCAGTATATTGGAATTTATTACTAAAATAATGTTAACTAAATATCTACCTGACAATTAGCCTCTTAACACATTTGTTTAAACAGTTTTTTAGTCTGGTTAATTTTAACCTTTTCACTGCGCATTTGTCAAACGTAGTCGCGCGCCGTGTGCCAATTGTTTCCACCATATATATACGCCCATAGCAGTTTTCAAGATAAACATCGAAGACAATACCGATTTACATGATACATACTTTTTTTTTATAAGAGAAAGATAACTATCTTATTTTATCGTAAACTTTATTGAAAAATAGAAGTCAAAGTTAATAATGTTTGTTGGTATATCTCTCGAAACATACAGCAAGACAAGAGGGTGCATTACATTTTGTACAAATATATCTAGTATCACTTTGTTTATCATGTCTGGCACACACAACACATTTTTTCTGTGCTGTTTTCTTGATTCTTTGTCGTGGGAATAACCGAAATAAAATAACGTTCAATTAGGTGCATTGGATTGCCATCATCCGCTGATCTTTCACGTCGATATTCAGTTTGCGGCTGATGGTATATTTCCAAGATATCCTTCAAATCCTGCAAATCCTGCAAATATCCTGCAAATTTTGTTGCATGAATTTCGGGACACCCCGTATAGTGTGTGACCATTTTCCAAATAACGTTCCAGTAAAGTGAGGACAATATTTCCAGGTATGCCAACATTTATACCGACGTTTGTTTGGCTCTTGATTTCTGTAGTAGCACCGACATATCGACGCTTTAGTACGAAAACATGCTATCTCAGATTTCGGTTGGAAAACGAGCTATCTCAAATTTCAGTTGGAAAACATGCTATCTCAAATTAAGCTTGGAAAACATGCTAACTCAGATCTTTAATTAAAAACATGCTATCTCAGTGTGACTAGAAATTTAAGTTGGCACATTGAATGATTGAAATCGTGCATTTATAATAAACTTATATAATATATTTTTAAAAAAGTAAGGAATGTTTATGTTCAGGTATTTTATTTTTTTTTATTCAACATTTTTCAATTAATTTTGTTGTTACTGTTATAAACGACAAAATTGTTAATTAAAAAAATAGAATAATATGCAGTATGCTGCAACACGTACATTACTCAACGTATTTTGAAATAACAAATTATAAAAAAGTTAACATAATAACCAGAATATAAATATAATATATAAAGTTGAATGATATGTATACATAATATATCGATGCAACGGGCGTATATTACTTGCAGGTGCACATTTCCGCGGTTCCCCATGCAGACATGTTTATCATCAGCAGATCATAAAGTACCGGTAATAAAAGTGTCGCATACCTGCATTTCATTTCCAAAGTCTATGCAAGGACTTGGCTACCTTGTTTTTATTGAGGTGTAGTAAGAAGGATTGGGACCCAGAGTTTGGGGCCTAGCCTGGTCCACTATATAATTATTTTTATTGCAGTCTTCTTAGGCATACAAAATTATTTTCAGAATAAATTGTGCATCCCAGATTTTATGAAAAAGAAAAATAAGTGTATCAAGAGTAGCGACTATAAATCAGATAAGAGTACGCTATTAATTTTGATATCAAAGCAAACTTGTATGAAAAAAATCGAATAATTTTTAGTAATAAACATTTTTATATATTAAGGTATACACAATTTTTTTAATAATTTGTTATTTCAAAAAACGTCGAGTAATGTACGTGTTGCAGCATACTGCATATTATTCTATTTTTTTATTTAACAATTATAACAGTAACTTAACATAATTAATTGAAAATATTGAATAAAAAAAAATAAATTAAACAGTGTACCTGAACATAAACATTCCTTACTTTTTTAAAAATATATTATATAAGTTTATTATAAATGCACGGTTTCAATTATTCAATGAGCCAACTTACATTTCTAGGCATACTGAGATAGCATGTTTTTACCTAAAGATCTAAGTTAGCATGTTTTCCAAGCTTAATTTGAGATAACATGTTTTTCATCCGAAATCTGAGATAGCATATTTTCGTACTAAAGCGTCGATATAATAAAATCTGTCGCAAAGTACAAAAAATTTTATGCCAAATCTGTGATGCTTGTACGATATATAGTGCTTGAAGAATAGACGACCTTTCAATAAAAGTAAACTTTCGTCAAATTTGGTATTTTGCACCCAGAATTATTATTATCAAAAATATTGATTTTAGGATTCAAATCAGAGTTTTTCTAGGCAAAGTTGTCGGTTTTGCACCTTTTAACAGTTTGAGTTGGTTCGTGTTCGGACTCGGCCTCAGATTCAGAGGAAGAAATCATAACATCCGGATCTGAATTTGATTCTGCAGGTATGTGGCCGATGCGTTCTTCTGTAGGCTTATCGGTATCTGTCCAGCCATAATCATCTTCATCAGGCAACAAAGAATTTTCAACCTCACTCTCACTTGTAGCTAATATGTTGCATAATTCTTCCTCTGCATAAAAGCATGAATGTCCCAACATCTAAGTGGACAGAATATAACTAAATAGGTTGTAGATCCTACAAGTGCAAACTCGCGCCGTATCTCTACCTTCCAAAAAATCTGTGGCATGATCGTAAAACCATATTCGATTGATGGACATTGTATGTATATATACTGTCGGGGCAGTGATCCACTATAAATATTTTATCGATGCGAAGTGTATATGTATACGACTGGAACAGTACACCACTAACCGTATATATGTATACATCTGGAACAGCGAAAGGGCCGAAAGGATTAATAAAATATAATTAGCCTTAGGCCTCACGGCCTATAGAACGTGTGTGTATATATACGTCCCAGGAATAAGTCAAAATTTTAAACTCAATTTTGTTTAATAAATTTTTTCGTACATTCACAATTTTAACCAATATTTTGTACCATTAAAATAATGCTTCTATATCTAATATTTGAGAATGTTTTTTCGAATGATTCACTGTCTTTAAACTTTTTGATATACTACATTCTAGTACTAATTAGTTTTTATTTTTGTACTTTCCATTTATTAAATCCTGACTTAAAAATTTGAAATTAAAAAAATTAGATTATCTTGAAAACTAAGAGGTTTCCAAAAAAAAAATAGACAAAAGTTGTTGCTTTTCTTGCATGCATGTTTTTTATGTAAAAATGTTAAATCTGGTTTTTAAAAGTGGATTTAAAGCGAGTTAAACGAAAAAATGGGAATTTTTCCCATTTACGCATCCCCATCTCCTTCCCCACTTTTGTTGTAATCAAAATTGACATGGAATCCTAGAAATATGAAACAAAAACCCATTTTCAGCAGTCACCTTTGAACAGTTGTAGCTTCCTTATTTTTGGACCTATATTCATATGAACTTCTATGTGAAGTATCACTTCTACAAATATATTTAATGTAATTTCGAGATACCATATATCTTTTGACAAAAATGGATTCATTGTTACTGAATAGTTGCCTGTTTTGTGTGTATTAAAACGTTTTTTTATTAAGTCTATAAAAGATGTAATGTTACGATATTTTTTGCAACCTAAAACTAACATTTAAATTTCTGTTGATGAAAAAGGTGGTTTGTATATACAATTGTTAGAGAAAGTAAGATTTCTTTAACATAATTTAGATATTTGTCTATAAGTAATAATAAGAGTAAGAAATCACTGACTATATTTCAATTTATTTCTTAGTGTATAATGTATTTAATTAGTTATTTATTGTGCAATTTTTTTTTTACTAATTTCTTATTACAAGAAAATAACGTGAAATTTATATAGTTTTGTATGCACAGTGTCTATAGATTATTATTATTTAACATTAATTCATTAATATGATTTGGTGTTAGAATGTAAAATATGTTGTGTACATTGTTAATACCATAAAATATCACTAAAACAAAATAATTTGTGCTATTTTGCTATGTATATAATTTTTTTAAATTATAGTTATAAAAATGTTCCGTTTAGATGTTTTGAATTTGGATATTACAAACTCCACATAAAATTATTTATTAAAACTGGAGATTTGAAATCCATGTAATTGTTTGTCACAGCAAATGAAAAATAATTATAAGAAACATTAAATTTGTACATATTTGTGAATAGTTTAGTAATTAATATATAAATGTTGTGATTTTGAGTCGTAAATAAAGACTTTATTTATTTTATTTACATTTTTATTAAACCTTTCCAAGAACAAACTAGACAGTAACTTCATAAATATATGAAAGCAAAAAAATGAAAACATAATAAGTTACAGGTAAGTTGTTTTTGTTTCAGCACCTGAAATATTGGCTACTGAGCCTTATGGACATGCTGTTGACTGGTGGAGCTTGGGTGTTATAGCTTGTGTAATGTTAACTGGTAAGGTAAGTGGAAATTTGAAATAATACTAATTTTCCAAATTAATGAAGAAATGTATTTGGAAAGGATATTAAGAACATTTAAAATTTGTATATAATAGGGTCGAGAGGTAATCCACTAGCCAGAAATAGTGGGAATTACTCAGAATAAATCAAATTACTAGTAGAATACATGAGAATAACAGAATATAACTGAATAGATACAGAAATATTACAAAACAGCTTCTAAAAATATTAATATAATGCCATTAATCTGTACCAAAAATCATTTTTCTAATTGTAGCCCTTTTGAGAGAAGCTGCTCCACCCAGAGGAGATTGGAAACAATTTATATGATGTATAAAATTTATTTTTTTTTTTCAATTACGTAGGAGATATAATCTAAATACATATTTAACTAATTGGTTATACAGGGTGGGCCATTAGTATGAGAAAGTAAAATAACTCCCTTGTTATTCATAATACAGAAAAAAGTTTATATAAAAGTTGTACAGAATTAAAAAACCTAAAGGACAAAATTAATTTGAAAACCATGAGTAAAAACGGGACATGCCAAATATTACATTTATTAAAAAGAACACCCTGTATATTTCAAAACATGGATTTCTGAGAAAATTCTGTATATGGCAATATAGACAGTTTAACATTTTAGTGCGGGTTTGCCAAGTTATGTAGAAAATTCTTCGAATTTTGGAAAAAACATGACCTCGTAGAAGCTGTATTAACTTTTAACTACTATAATACTTGGAGCACAAATATTGGGAGGGAGGGAGAGAGAGAGAAGCTCTCTATGAGGACAGAATCACTCTATCTATATCGCACACTATAACTCTACGAGCCCAGGCTCATAATAGTTCGGCCGGCCAACGTTTTTAATTAAATACTTGAATAAATTACACATTCTACCAAAATGATGAAAGATTTCCTTAAAACTACCTCACTTGTAATAAAGTATAGTCTATCAATTTACTAAATTTAATCACTTTTGACAAAATTCAAATTGAGCAAAACATAGTTAACAAAAATGCAATCCAACCAATGGGTCATTATAGTTCGGCCACTTATCATATCTGCCATGAAACTGATATAAGTACTCCATCAAAACAAAACACATACTGAATAATTCAACAAAATATCTGTCATTATTAGTTTTACCCACGTTTTGCTTCAGATTTAACGTAAAATGCCTCGTGGTAAACCTCTAAGTAAAGATTTACGAGTTTCTATTATAAAAGCCCATGAGAAAGGTATTTCGGCCCGCCGAATATCAGTTTCTCATTCAATTCCGCGTTCTACAGTGCAAGATATTATTAATTTATACAGAAGA